CCATTCGCTTTAATGGGCCAGTCTGTGGTACAGTGAGGGCTTGGTTTCTTTGTGCACAGTCTAGAGGGGAATTCATGCTGAAACTGTTTTTATTTTATTGCAGTCTTGAAGGAGAGACATGAGCAAAATGTTACCCTCGAACACCTCTGTGCTGACTGTAGGGGCAGCATGAGTGGAATCTGTCCATGTTGCTGGCCTGTTGTGCTGCAGGCGGGTACCCTGAGCAGCTGGATGCTGGAGGAGCAGCACTGGAAGGCACAAAAAGCCCGTTATGCCAAGAAAGCTGTTGTATGTGTTGGCGACAGATTACTTCTTCTGTCTGTCTGAGGGCAGACCTAGCCTCCTATTTATCCTGTGAGAAGGATGCTTCTAATGAGAGGTGCTTTCTTCATCTGGTCATAGTTTTCTCAGAAATATTGCTTTGGGAATGAATTTTTGTTTGCTTGGTTTTACATCGTGGAGGTGCCCATGGTGCTGTGGGCAGGCAGACCAGAGAACGTGGCTGTATGGCTGTGCAAGGGGTTTGGTGGCTTGTACCAGGCTCAGCAGGTGGCTGAAGGAAAGCAGAAGGTGAGTTTGGCAATTTTGTGATCTGCTGCCATGTCTGTTCTCATTGATCTCAAAGACGGCCATACACATACAAAGCGGTTGTAAAGTCATGGCTGAGAATCTTAGAAGGATCAAGAGTCAGGCAATTCCACTGACAGAGAAATTCTCCTGGCAGCACCACCACACTCAGTGTGTGTTAGCAGTTCCCTGTAAAGCATGGGAACAGTGTGGTGGAAGCAGTATTCCTGGGCAATCATTGATCCTGGAGTCTCCTCTATGCCAAAATTTYCCACCTTTGTTTGGTATGAATTCATATTTTTCATATGTTTCATGAGCATATGTTTCCCCAGATTCTGTTTACCTGATTTCCCTTCTGAATCAGTATCTGCTCTCTCCTTTTTCTTCTCCCTGGTTTTTTTTCTTTTTTTTTTCAATCATAGGGGATAGAGCTGAGCATTTATCTCTGTGGCTGCATGATACTTGCCTCATACCTGCTTATTGACTTGAGAGATGACTTTCTAAATAGGGCAAGAGCTTCCTGCAACTGGAATGTTTTAATACATGGGCTTTGTTCATCACACCAGAGTTTTTGATGCRAGATAATGTCTTGAAGGGGGGCAGATCAATTTTAAGTCTCTCTGGAGATCCAGAAGAATATTTTAACCATAGGCACAGTTCTGTGTTCCAGCCCAAACTTGATTAAGGCTCAGATTGTTCGGGTATTTATGTGAACAGGAAAACACAACATCAATTGTTCCTGTCTTTTCAGTGCAGACAGGAAAGTGAGAGCAGGGCCTTTCTTGCTCTGGTGAACTTGCCATCATCTGCACACTGTTGCATTGGGGTGATGTTGTGCAGCCAGCGCTGGGCAGGTCCATCCACCAGTCTCCTTCCCAACACAGCTCCGTATCCTGTGCAGCCAGGCAGGCAATGGTCATTGCTGTAAGTGCCTACAGATAGTTTTTAACCAGTGGGGACAGAAGTGGGGTTTATATATGTGTGTGTTTTGGGGGGATGTGTGTGTCTGTATGTGGATATTGACATCGATACGGATAGAGAGGCATTTCCCTCCTCAGGGAGGCTCTGAAGTCCCACCCACGATTGGGTGCAGAGGGACTGCTCACCCAAAGCATGTTAAAAATGTTCTCTGGTGGTTTGCAGGATGGAGGCTCAGCAAAACTGAGGAGAGTTGAGTTAATGTCTAATACTAAAAGACACTGAGCAAGAAAGAAAGCCAYAACAATCTCTCCCCCTCCCCCAGCCCGATTTCCTAATCTTTTAGGAATGATTTACAATAAATAAAAGACTTTCTGAAAGAAGGTTTTTTTTTTCCAAGTTAACAATGGATGTTAAACTACCCCTCCCTGTGGTCCTTTGCCATTTCTTTCACACTGTCCAGCTTTAGACTTCATCCTGCGGCAAGATTCATGAAGGCAGCTCCCCTGTGCCCATGCAGAGAGATCACGGCGGTATGCAAACCATAATCACCTGGATTCCTTACAGAAATGGGTTGTTTCCTTTCGAGAAGGCTCGTTAGAGCATGCAGCAGTGTAAAACTCAAAGCTTGTAAGAAAATGGTTTCATAGAGCCTGATCTCTCTTGTCCCACAGCTCCTCTGATCATTTACACTGGAGCACAGAAGAGGGCAAAAACCCCCCTAACCTAAAGCAAACAAACAAAGCCAAACATCCTCCTAATGGTGTATGTTCTTCACATCCAACAGTGATGGTGTTTTACACCCACTTTACACAGGTGTACGGTAATACAGGTCGGGAAGCAGTGTAGAGAGCAAAGCTCTTAAGGAGTTAGTGGAGCTTCCCTGCTGGAAGGTTATAATCACACTGAAAGGGGGAAAACTTGCCTTGGCAGACAGGAAATATGTGATGCAATTTCAAAACAGAGTTGCTAGAGATAGAATAGCCCATAAACTGGGAAAAAAAAAAAATGTAGGGAACACTTTGCATAGCCCAAATGTGCCATGTAAAAGCTAATAGCAAGGGATCCTGAGGAGCAGTGGTGTACTGGCTACAGATGTGCATAGTGCTTACATCCTTTACCTGCAAGGAGGGGTCCCTGATCCTGGGTATAGGGACTGCTGGCAGATTCTTCTTACTGGTGACAGCTTTCCTTGAGGCAAGGTTTTTAAGCATTATCGACTGAAAAAGGTCCAGTCTAGTGTTGCATGTGAAGCAAAACTGTTTCATGTGGAATGACTATGTGGTTGGAGAAGACTCCACTTCAGAGAGCCAATGGTCATGAGCGGGGTGTGACTTCAGAAGAGGGTAATATCTCCAGACTTCACATGCTAAGGATCCATGTCGCCATTTCGCCTTCCCTCAGTCCCATCTTCAAAAGCTCCTGTTTCTCAGATGTTTCCACCTCCTCCAGTTGTGCCAGTTCAGCTGCTTGTGGGGATGAAATCTCCATCAGCTGGTGTGGTGTTAAGGATTTGCTCTTGTTAGTAGGGCTTTTAAAAAAACGTTGGATTATTTAAACAGCTCACCTATGAGTGTAGCTACATAAATAGTTTAACTGGCACAAGTGAGCGGCAATAACTGAAAGAGCATGGCAGGATCCTCTAAAACTGGGTCTGCTGCAGATGGAACAGTGAAACAGAGCCACAGCCCTACACGCTCTCAATGTTATTTGCATGAGTAGCTCCATTGTGCTTCAGTGGGACTCTACTTACACATGTAAAATTAAGTGTTTGCAGGGCCAGGCCCTTAAAGAGAATAAAAGCCACGATCGGGGTGTGCCATGCTCTGAACCATGSACGGAAAGTGTCATGCAAATGTTTTTTGCTGGCTGGGCTATCTTGTCTGATCTGTCTGCTCCGCAGAACTGGAGCTCCTGTGGCAACTTTTCTTAGCCTTGGTTTGCCCTAATGGAAGAGGGCCTTGCTTTTGAATAGACAGGCTGATCTCCTGCCCTTGCTGCAGACAGGGAGTTGTGAGGGAAGTGTATGCAGTGTGGTGAGAGCAGTAATGCTTCCAAGATGTTCTTGGATTTGCTGGAGTGCTCTAAAGAGCTGGGACAGCTGGCTTCTCTGGGGCAGCTTTTATGAGCTTGGCCAAGGGAGGGCAAGGCCCTGATACAGAGGGCTGTTCTCGAGGCTGTCAGTGACAGTCCCACCATCTGGGGCTCTGCTACCTGAAATCCTGACTTACAACCTGTCTTCACAGTTAGGATCATTTTGGAGCCTGTTGTTGTCAGTTCCCATGGTAAAACCCTTCAAGGACAGCTCTGGGAATTCACTGCTGTGGTGGATTCCCAAAGGTGGTGAAGTAGCAGCTTAACTCTTGAGAGTGAAGCAAAGCACCTTGATCGCTGCTCTCCGGAGCCCCAAAGAGAGGAAGGAAGAGACTTAAAGCCGTTGGAGGGGAGAGGCTTGGTGTGGTTATTTGAGACCGCTGCCTGCAGAGTTGCACAGTCATTTATAACTGTTTGAAATGTGGGGGGATGGGGTCGGGGGGATGGGAGGGGAGTCGGAGGAACCACAGCATCTGCAAACKAGAAGCATTTTGTGTTCATTTTCCCTGGTCTAACTCCTAAAGGGACAAGACAGCGAAGTACTGGGTCAGAGGAGGGAGGAGAACAAAAAGGCAGTTCACTAACTCCTCGTATTTTATCACTGCTGTTGCATATGTCGGGATTGAGGCACAGGGTAGGATTTTTGAAGGTACTTTTGGAAAACAGAAGTTGGATGCCTGGCTTCTTTAGGCTCCTTAGAAAAATCCCAGCTTCTACTGCCCAGGGCAAACAAACTTCCTCTTAAGCAAAYCGCGTTTGGTTCCTGGTGTTGGTGAGAGTGGGAGTAGTTCTTCAACGGGAAGCACTGTGTGCACATTCTCTTCCTTACACCATACTGGATTGGCCTGGCCAGCAGGGTGGGATGTGTAAAGGAGAGGAGGAAGTGTAGATGTTGCATTAAAAAAGACCCGTATCAATGTAAAAATTGGCAAGGTTTAAACATCAGGTAAAGGAACTTGTGGAACCGATGGCAGCAAAGATGTGGTGGTTCCAGTTTCACCAACGCTTCAGGTGTAGAAGGTGCTGGCCGCGATCACTGGAAGGGTGCAGGTGGGGCTGGTGTCAGTAGGTGGAAAGACTTCCTAGAGACCAAGGATCTCCACCTTCGGGTCGTGGATCCTGGGAACTTGTAGCCCCGGGGACTTGTCTAAAAAAAGGTGTCAGCGGGCTGAAAGTCTGTGCAGCGGATAATAAATACTTCGGGTCTCTGGTTTGCCAGTTGGAAGGCACTGAAAACCCGCTGTTAAGTATCTCCCTGAAAGAAGAGTATCTGTTTGGGGTAAGAGGTGAACATTAGCTGTTTGCTAATGTTGCAGTGTTCAGGAAGCCGTAGGGTTAGTAAGTAGGCAAGGACAAGGGGAGGAGAAGAGAGGGACAAAAAGAGAAAAAGGGATTGAGGGCTGAGCAAAGAGAGGAGGTGATTTTATCAGCCAAGAGCAACGCCCAGCGTGAATGTTGCGCTAAAAGGGTCTTCTTCCAAAGACTTGAGTTACTTAAAAGTGGGAGTTGGACAAGATGGGAGTTGGACAAAGAATGGGTCGTTTGAGGATAAAGGGGGAGGGAGGACACTGCATTTCTGTTCACTGATGTTGTATTGGCTAAACAGGTTATTCAGGCAACGCGGATAAGCAAAACTGATCCGCTGACTTTCTCTGTTCGGCTGCATCGGTGTGCCACCGGTGGCTTGGAACCTCTTCCTTACAGCCAGGAGATCGCCCATCTTAAGAACATTTTGTGGAGGTGAAGGAGAAGGATTAGTGGATGTTGAAAGCCATCTTTTCACAGAGTAAGTCTCGGACTGAAAAGGGCGGGGGATTGCTACAAATCTTCCGAACTCTTCACTGCCAGTTTGAAACCAAACAACATTGATGTCTAATCCCCCAAATACGGAGCATTTGTCCAGGATGGGGCCCTCGAGCATTTTTAGGAGTTGATAGGTTGTGTCTGTTTGCCATTACTGCCTCGTCCCTCCCTGTTCAGTTCCAGGCTGCCGCTTATCCCGGCGCTTTCTCCCACCAACAGAAAGCCCTCAGGTCACTCGGCGGGTGGGCAGTCGGGGTGCTCAGCCCCGGGGAGGAGGGACGCTGCGCTTCTCCTCCACAGGTTCCTCCCCCCCACCGCTCTTATCGCGCCTTTCTCAGAAACGTGTGGAAAGGGCATGTGCCAGCAGCCCGCGCCTCTCCTCGATGGTCCAGCGGCTCCTCCGGGCCGTGCCATCGGGCTGGCGGCGATGCCCGCTGCGTGGAATGCCCCTCACGGGGGGGGCAGCGGGGCTGAGGCGGGGGTACCATGGCACGGGCAGCGGGGTGGGCCCGGGCAGGCCGGTGCGGAGGAGGGCGGGCAGGGCACYAGCTCGGGGCCGGGCGGCGCCATCCCGCATCTCACATCCCCTCAGGGGCCCCGCGGGCCGTTTCCGTTAAGGGGGTGCCGCCGTTGGGGATGAAGGGAGTGTTGGGGGGGCGGGCCCCCTCGCGCGGCACCTCAGGGGGAGCGCGACGGCCCCTCCCCGGCCCCATCGAGGGCGCCTCCCCTGCGGTACCGGGCGGGCACCGGGAGCACGGGGAGCCCCCTCCCCGCCGCCCGGGGAACCGGAGAAATGAGGGCGACTCTCGGCGCTCGACTTCACCGAGTGGAGTTTGGGGCGGGGGGGCGGCACGGGGGTGGCGGCCCCTTTAGAAGAGCCCCGGGCGCGCGGTCTCTTTAAAACAGGAGGAAGGGGCGTGGCCGCCGCGAGGCGGGGGCCGGGCCATGTTAATAAAGGGGCGGGGCTGCGAGGCCGAGAGGAGCCTGTGTCTTTAAGAGTCCGGCTGGTACCACCGTGCGGAGAAGGGGGAAG